ATATTATATTTCAATCATTACATTTTGGATAATTCATCATTAAAATGTTAATGCCCGCTCACTTTATATCCCTTGTAATATTGCYGATTTAAAAAAATTCACATTCATCACATTTCCCCCCGATCAACACATTTTTTGTGTGCTAAAAACAACAAAGAAGCAACAACTCTCTTGTTAAAACACAAACATTACCACAGAGCAGTGTTTTCAGTACAGACTTGTGCAGTGATCATTAGTTGTGTGTCATTCAATCACAGCTGAAGGATGGTGATGGCAGACTCGTACCAAACCCAGAAGCCAGGATACACAGGTTCACTAAACGAGGCCTTGAAGCGGTGGATGAGACTCAAGGTTTCTCCGACAGCGTAGAAAGCGAGAACGCCCCCATCGTGGTCCAGGAAGACCCCGATGCGGGAGGAGTAAGGAGCTTTGACCTCGATCTGGTCCTTATTGTGGCGGGCTGAGTAGCACGAGTCGGAGCAGAACAGACTCCAGGACTTGCGGTTGTAGCCGATGCGGCAGGCGTCGCCGTAGCCCGACCTCTTGATGCCTTTGTAGGTGACTCCAATGGCAGCCCCCTCCCCACTCCAGTCTACCTCCCAGTAGTAGACCCCTGAAGAGATGGGCTCCTTACACAGGACCTGTGGCAGCGAGTCGAACCGGGCGGCGTTGTCGCTGTAGGACTGGGCGTCTCTCTTTAAGGTGGCTTTTCGGTTTCCTCGAGACAAATAGAGCTGTCTGTAGGCTGTGTTTGGGTCCAGAGTGAGCTGACAAGCATCTGAGCAGAGACAGAAGGTGAACGGTTACTAAACATTTACCTGAAACTGTCATGGGTAACTTTATTCAGAACAAAGGGAAAGTAGTGTTTGGTAGATTCTTGGTTGTACAATGTTTCTTCACAATAAATCTTATATCACTGCAAAGTCTATTAATTTAGCTTTTAAATGGTGCCACATTTGTAAGGAACATGTATTTGTGGGATGAGCAGTAGAGCTGAGTATGTGGGTTGTGTATTGGATAAATCTTGTGCCAGTAGGAATTGAATTTGAGCACCCGCTTAGAATGGCTTCAGAATGTCCCGCCTGTGCTGGTTAGCAGGTTCCCCGTCCCATAGAATGGCTTCTGATTGTCAGCTGGTTAATATGAGGCATAAAACCCCTAAGGTTAACCTTAGAGCAAACGACATGGTTAGCGCTAAAGACACCGCCCTCCAATGGCAGTATATTGTAGCCTTCCAATACTGCAATGGGTAGACCACAGAGCGGGAGACCAGGGTCCGAGACTGACACAGACAGCAAGAGCAAGGATCACCACCAGGCATGGACAAAAATATCTTTTGGTTATTTACACATTCATTGTCATTGATATATTAACCCACTAGGGGGCACTGTTGGGACAGTCTGAAGTCTAGAAGGCACAGTAGGGACCCTCTGAAACCATTGTATGGGACTGATAACGCCTAATAACATCCATTTAATGGACTGATAACATCAGAATCCCCCGATTTGAATTGTTCAGATTGAATCTGAATGTGCAGAATTTGAAATTAAAGGCATTGGTTTGAAAATGAATTTCACTAAACTGAAACTGAATTTAAATATTTGTATCATAGATCACATATT